GACCTGAGTTCAAGTCCCCAGCACCCACGTAAACAGTTGAGCATGGTGATGTGCTCATGCGATAATCCCAGTTCTGGGGAGGCAGTGGTTGGCAGATCCCTGAAGCTCATCAGCCAGCCAGGCAGCCATCTTAGCCAAATTGGTGAGCTCCAGAGTGGGAGGCCCTATCTAAAAAAAGTGAAGTGGAGAGAGATTAAGAAAGGCATCCCCTGTTGACCTCTGGTCTCCACACACGTGTTACCTATGGAAGTGCATACACTTCCACATGCACTCATACACTCATGTGCGTGCACGCGCGCGCGCGCGCGCGCACACACACACACACACACACACACACACACATAAACACACAAAGGCGCACTCTACCTTTAAATTTAGCTTCTCCTTTTACCCCATTTGGTTCTTGCCCCCACCGCCTTCTCCCTGCCATTGCTTATTCAGCCGCACAGCACCCTCCTCCTCTGAGTCACTGCCCTGCCAATCTCTAATTCTCTGCTGCTACCTAAGTTCTCTGGTCTTGTCAGAAGCCACCTGGCAGTGAGTAATCACTGACATTTACCTGAGAGGTTCTGGCCTGGTGGTGGTACTGGCCGGAGAATTTACAGTGAGCTACTTAAGAACCACGGATACACTGCCGGGCTAGAGGTGTCCTGCCCCCTGCTTACCGCTGGCTTGGACGGGTGCGAGCCATGGCCTTCCCAGACTGAGAGGAAACCAGCCACCACGTTGGCCTGGCAGTCCCCACTGTCAGGGGCGAGCCCGGGCCTCTGCCCACTTTTTTGAGGACCGAAGACTCCAGCATGGTTCTTTCAGCAATGGTTTACCAAGACAGAAACACTGGTTACTCAGCCACGACGCAAGGTGAGGTTTGAATGAAGATTGTCTCAGTCTGAGGTGTCAGCACGCATTTAGTTACTCCATGTTGTTACTGTGACTTGCTTTCTCTTGAACACATGTCTGTCTGTCTGTCCTTGTCTTTTCTGCCCCCCCACCGCTCCCCACCACCATGTTCTTCTCAACCCAAGAAAATGGCGCCTGAAATGAGAGGGATATTTGTTGAAAACAGCGACAGCAAGAGTTTAAAATTTGCGTCTCCATTTTGCTTCTGTGGTCAGCGCCAGGATGTGGGGGATGGTTGATGTGACGTCTCAGCTATGCATGTGGCAGGTACTGCTCCTCACGTGATTGTCCAGAGTGCGGCATAAATGAACTGGCGTGACTGCTGTACTTCTTCCATACAGCAGACACTGAAAGTGTTACTGAAGCGACAATTCAAGTGCCATCAGGCTGTGCGTGTGCTCACTGGAGACAAACAGCCCAAGAGGAGTAACAAACAGTTTGATGTTTCACCTGCTAGTGCAAGTCAGGGCCTCTGAAAGGTGTGTGTGTGTGTGTGGGGGGGTGGCTTCAGTCAAACCCTGGCCCTGGATCCTGTCTCCCTGGCTCCGTTCCACTCTTCTTGAGTGACTGAGCTGCACGCTGGAACCCTGGAATCTAGAGAAAGGACACACAGTGGAAACAAGCACAGTTGCTGACGGTGTTATAACAGGAGCCATATGAGGGGAGATAGATCGCTTGCCGGTGCTGTGGCGGGGAGTCATGCAGTTCCAGTCAGTCTTGCTCACCCCCTCCACATGCTAAGTGTCCGCAATGGCCTTTCCTTCTAAACGGAAGCACAGGATTATAGATGACAACATTCAAATGACCCAGACGTTAAGAATTCACAGTTGGTCTGCGGAAGAGCCAGGCGAAAAAGGGGCCCCCATATACTGTCAAACCAGAGCTGTGTTCCTGGCTACCTGCCCCAGGGTGGCTGGCTTTCTTTTGAAGAACATTTAGGAACAGGTCAAGCATGGTAACTATTGTGTCCTGTGTCTATGGATGAGCATTTCTGTCATTTTGCCTTGTTCCATGCCCCAGGCTGTCCTTAAAAGTGTATTTTAGCATGCTCTTGGAAAGTGGACGTACCGGATGGATTGGAGCTGTGACAAGAGGTGTTTCTCTCCTGCTGCAACTACTTGGAAAGTACATTGGATGGAGGGCTCTTAATTTGCTGGTGTGCGAAGCAGAAAGACAGATGAGCCAGGAGTGTCAGAGCCTTCCTGCTGTCTTCAGTGGGCTCTGTCCCCTCCGTTCCCCAAGTATTATTAAAGAGTGCTTACACTCCCATATCGGCTCATGGCGGAGAGGTGAAATTAAACTAAGCTGGTGTGTATTAATGGCATCAATTGCAAGGGGCCTTAAACGAGATGGCCGATATTATCTCCATGTGTATGCCATGCTTTTTTTTTTTTTTTTTTGAGACAGTCTTATGTATCCCAGGCTGGCCTTGAACTCACTGTGTAACTGAGAGTCATCCTCCTGCCTCCAGCTCCTGAATGCATTGCAGATGAGTGCTGGAATTACAGGTGTGCACCCCCAGGCTGGGTTTATGTTATACTCAGGACTGAACCCGAGAGTTCATGCTTGTTACATAAGCACTTTACCAGCTGAGCTGTTCCCAGCCCTGTGATGGGTATAAACAGGTCCTCTCACTGAAGCCCAGTTTCCCCCACAGCTCTATCAAATTCTTATTTCAGCCCCCTGTAGCAGACAGGAATTGACATAATGGACATTAACTAGCAGGCCAATATGTTGCAGGCAGTTGGTCATTGAGAAAGCCAACATTGAGATGGCTTCTGTCAGATTATAAAGAGGATTTCCCATGATACCATTCTGCCCAGCAAGGATTGTAGAGAGGTGAGCATGTGCTTAAACACCATGGGTAAAATTGGGGTCTGTGTGACGAACAACAGAAGATGTTGCTAGAAATTTGGGTGCAACTGTTTGGTAATTTAACTTAAACTTCAAATTATTAAGTGACATACACAACTTTTTGGTTTCTTTCACTTTAATAAGTGAAAGAATCTATTTTGTAGATCTAGAATGAAATTTTTAGTAGTTGTCAGATAATTTGAAATCTCTGGTAGGAAAGCTTGTGGGTCCTGGACTGCTAACTACTACTCACTCGGGTATTTTCATCTGAGTAGTAGTAATAAGATTGATAGCTTGAAATCTATAGTGACACTAAAATATAGAGAGTAACACTGCCTTTGTGAAAAGAGCCATTTAAAATATATTTGGGGGCACAGAAATATATTTGGGAGAAAACAAAACATTATGCTTTTTTTTTTTTTAAAGATTTATTTATTATGTATACAGCATGTGTGCCTGCAGGCCAGAAGAGGGCACCAGATCTCGTTACAGATGGTTGTGAGCCACCATGTGGTTGCTGGGAATTGAACTCAGGACCTCTGGAAGAGCAGTCAGTGCTCTTAACCTCTGAGCCATCTCCCCAGCCCCAACATTATGCTTTTTACAGGGCTTGTCAGACAGCTTCTGTCTGGGCCTCAGTGCACAGAAGCCCAGTGTCCACCACAACTGGATGTCGGCCGTGGTGGAGGCTCTCCCAACAGCAGATCCACGATTTCTGTCGATAATTGCTGTTCTGTATATTGCTCTGACTTCTGTCTGGTTACATTGTTGTGTTGTGTATCCCACATGTCCTCCTTCCCTGGGGAATCACATTTACATGAAACCAAAATAACCTAAAGATCCATTGGAATCCAGAATAACCTAAAGACCCACCAGCAAAGGGACACCATCTTCATAAAGGGACTCCCCACATAGTGCTCCTGCTTTATCGTCCTCCCCTACCTTGGGGGTGGAGAAGATAGCACCATTCTACAGCCAGAGCTATGCAGAGGACTGAGCCCTGTAGGGTATCCCCAGGGCTCTGCTGTGATGCTTGCTATGAGTATTTCTAGAATAAAATTACCACGTGGTACCACTATGTGGCTAGTTATGCTAGTTAATAAAATGACTCTTGCTGAGTGGTTCCAGTTTAAGCAAAGAAGGGCACATAAGTTTGGAATAGTCTATGCCACTGTAGCATATACCCACTCCCACTGACAAAAGGAATGTGTGTGGATTTGGAACCCCAAGGTTTATGTTCTACCTGAAGGTCAAATCAGCTAGAGAGAGCCAGTGTAGGCTGCCTGTAACAATCTAGAACAGTGGTTCTCAACCTTCCTAATTGTGACCCTTTAATATAGTTCCTCATGTTGTGGTGACCCCCAACCATAAAATTATTAGCATTACTACTTCATGACTGTCATTTTGCTACTTTTATGCATCATAATGTAAATACCTGATATGCAGGATATCTGATATTTGACCCCTGTGAAAGAGTAATTTGTAGTCAGAAGGTTCCTCTGGTCCTGACCAGGCCCCATGGTCCTGCCTGGCCACCACGGCCCTGTTGCCACTTATAAAATAACCATTCAGAGGCTTAATATTAATTATGAATTACATGGCCTAAGGCAGGCTTCTTGCTAGCTAGCTCTTATAACTTAACCCATTTTTATTAATCTGTAAGTTGCCATAGGGCCATGACTTACTGCTATTTTCACATCTTGCTTCTCCTGGCGGCAGCTGGCGTCTCCTTCCTCTCTTTTCTCCTCCTACTATCTCTCTTGAATTTTTCCGCCTGGCTCCATCCTGCCCTGCCATAGGCCAATGCAGCTTTATTTATCAACCAATCAGAGCAACACATATTCACAGCATACAGAAAGACATCTCACAGCAGTCATTTGACTACAAGAGGGGTCATGCCCACAGGTTGAGAAACCATTAATCTAGAAGCTGATCCTAGATGCCCCAGGAATATTACTCAGGAATCAGAGTTAGGTGTGTTCCAGCTGCTGTTCTTTGAGCCCCTGAAAGCATTCTCAATACTGAGGGATGGATGTGCAGGGCATGACCTTCCATACCATTGATTTTCCTAGGTCAGGCAAGCTGGGACCCACTGAGGTTAAAACTACAGCAAAGCAGTTTCTTGGGGGAAGCAGAACCAGGGAGACTGGATTCAGCATGGGCAGTTTGGCTGAGTAGCTGGGCACAGCTGTTGGAGCAGGTTGGTCAGAACCTGTTCAATCCAGTGTGAGGCTCTAACATTGACATTCTTTTTTTTTTCCCTTTGAGACAGGGTTTCTCTGTGTAGTTTTGGTGCTGTCCTGGAACTTGCTCTGTAGACCAGGCTGGCCTTGAACTCACAGAGATCCTCTTGGCTCTGCCTCCCGAATGCTGGGATTAAAGGCATGCACCACCACCACCTGACTATATTGACATTCTTAGTCATCTATTTCTACATGTCATTTGCTTAGAATATTGATAGCTAAAAAGGATTTGTCAAAACTCCAGACTATGAAGAATTTGAAGATGGGCATTGTAATAGTTTGAATGAAAATGGCCCCCATAGTCTCATAGGGAGTTGCATTATTTAAAAGGATTAGGGCATGTGACCTTGTTAGAGTAGTTGTGGCCTTATGGGAGGAAGTGTGCCATTGAGGGTTGGGCTTTGAGGTTTCAAAAGCTCAACCCAGTCTCAGTGGGTCTCTCTCTTCTGCGGATCAAGATGTAGAACTCTAGTCTCCTTCTCCAGCACCATGTCTGCCTGCATGCTGCCATGCTCCCCACCATGATGACAATGGATGAAACCTCTGAAACCGTAAGCAAGCCCCAATTAAATGTTTTCCTTTATAAGAGTTGCCATGGTCATGGTCTCTTCACAGCAATAAAGCCCTAACTAAGACAGGCCTGGTGGCTCATACCTATAATCCCAGCACTCAGGAGGCTGAGACATGAGGATTGCCTTGAGTTGGGGGTGGGGGACTGGTTACAGTTGGTGTTAGTGGCACATTTTTCATAAAATAAATGAAATGACAGTGATGATCTTTTCATGCTTTTGTGTCTAACCATCACTAGGGAAAGGAAATACCTCAGCCGGTAAAATTTCAGACTGTTTTAAAAGACTGTTCCTTCAAAGGCTGCTTGCTCAGTGAGATACTGGCAGAGCCTTACCTCTGGGCTATAGAGTGTCGGGTATAAGAGTACGGCGAGGCGCCATGGAAACCCTAAGAACAGAAGTGTTAAGGAAAAACACTAAGTTTCTTATAAACACATTTCAACTCATTTGTGAGATTATCAGAAGAAAAGTAGGCTGTGAGAGAAAACTCTGAAGGAAGACCATGAAAAGAAAGCTACAGCCTTGGGTAAAGGGATGTCCCACCCCTTGTTGGGAGTTAGAGGGTGGACCTGAAACACAAGTCATCTCAAGGATGCATTTTCCCTCAAATGGAAAAAAAAACTGACTTAGTAACTTCTTTAATTAAGTGAACATGTGTAGAATGAAAAGTTCAGTTGTGTAAGATAGTCTCTAAGGCGCTTGCACATACGTGGAAAGGTAAAGACACAAGACACATGTGAAAAAGAGGAACTGTATTGCCACCTAGAAGTCACTCAGCAGACAGACTCAAAACCCTTAGGAGAACTCAGCACTGTTTGCCTGAGCCCTGGAGTTGAGCCACAAAAACACTCGGTGTCAGTGTTTTGTTTTAGATATAGTTGAAAGTATTCTATATAAAGGATTTTGTAGTTGGTGTGTTTGACTTGTGACCCCTGGGCCCCATGCAGCCAAGACTAGTTATGAGTGTGGCCTAACACAGAATTATAAACATGCTGAAAACAATGAGCTTCTTCTATGATTTAAAAAACAAAAGCCCTGCCGGCGGCAGTGGCGCACACCTTTAATCCCAGCGCTCAGGAGGCAGAGCCAGGCGGATCTCTGTGAGTTCGAGGCCAGCCTGGGCTACAGAGCAAGTTCCAGGACAGGCACCAAAACTACACGGAGAAACCCTGTCTCAAAAAAGGAAAAAAAAAAAAAAAAAAGCCCCTCAAATGCATGGTTCCTGGGCATGAACTTTGTAGATTACAACATTGCATCTTAATGTCAAAATGGTTGGACACATCTGCTTTGTAGTTTGGACGAGTTAAGATGTCATGTGTCATCTCTAGTAAAACAATGCATAAGGGGCTTTAAAAATGTAAAATTATTGTGAGGGGTATGGTGGTACACATTAATGATTCCAACACTTGGGTGGCTGAGGCAGGATGATTGACAGTCGGAGGCTAGCCTGGGCTATCTAATGACACCTTATCTCAAAGCAAAAGGAGCTTGTAGCTGGAGAATTTTTCTCCAGCTCCCACCGCCAAGTCCCGCCAGTCCCGGAGCCCACTTATAAAATAAACACACAGACTCTTACATTATTTAAACTGCTTGGCCATTAGCTCAGGCCTATCATTGTCTAGCTCTCACTCTTATATTCAGCCCATTTCTATTAATCTTTATTTTGCCACGTGGCTCGTGGCTTACCGGTACTTTACATCTTCCTTGTCTTGGCGGTGGCTCCAGCCGGTCCCTCTTTTCCTTCCTCCTTCCTCAATTCTCCTCTCTCCTTGTCCCGCCTATACTTCCTGCCTGGTCACTAGCCAATCAGTGCTTTATTTATATAGAGCGATAGCCACAGCACTTCCCCTTTTTTTTCTTTTTCAAAAAGGAAGGTTTTAACTTTAACATAGTAATATTACATATAACAAAATAATTATCGAGTAAGAATTATAGTTACAATATAAAAGAAGATATCTATCTTATATTTGTGAGTTTAAGGTTTTATATCTAACTTATCTTTTATCATAACTAAGGAAAATTGTAAGTATCTAGTCTTTAACCACATCAAAGACCTCAGAAGGATATAATACTACCTGAGAAATGGGAGAAGGATGCAAGCAACTTTCGGGAGTCTTGTAGGGTAGACAGAGACAGCTGACAGCCTGGACAGTCATTCAAAGTTCTCTTGTAAAGTTGGGGCATCAGTCTTCAGCCTGCAGGCCTAGAGTCTCCCATTCACTTTTTTCTGTGTCCTGTAGAATGTCTTGCAGTTTTCTCTGCAAAACAGGAACCTGAAGGACCATTTTGTCAAGCAAAGTTCAGTGGTTACCTTTCTATGGGTCCTGTATGTCAAGTTGATCAAGAAGTCCAGGCAAGAACAGTTTCTTGTCCAAATGGCTATTTTTGTCAAGGTGAAGATAAACTCCATATGGAGTGTCTTTGATGCCCATATTCTTCTCTGAAGTAAATTGATGCTGTCAGGAGCAGACATGTCTCACTGTCCAGAAAGTCTAAATTTTTAAAACATTTTAAATGCCATATTCTGTAGGTCTTTGAAGTGTTTGAAGACTACCTATCTATCTGAAATATATCTATGTATACCTAGAAGACTCTGAGCGTCTGTGGGACTGGCAGGTGAGAGAGATTTGTCCTGACTGTGGGCCAGGCAGGAAAACTCTAGCTACAGGAGCTTGGAGTCCAGTTACTGAAAAAAAAAAAATCAGGATAAAGTTTTATAAATTCTTGAGTCCTAAATTAAAAATAATTAAAAAAATTTTTCAGGTTTATTTCTATTTTGTGTATGGGTATCTGTTGCATGTGTCTGTGCCCATGAGGGCCAGAAGTGGGCATTGGATCCTTAGAACTGGAGTTACAGATGGTTGTTAGCTGCCCCATGGGTCCTGGCACCTGAACCCAGGTCCTCTGAAAGAAGAGTCAGTGCTCTTAACCTCTGAGCCCTCTCTCCAGAACCTAGATATATATCTGTGTGTCTCTACAGGTGAGTTGAAACTTGCTGTGTAGAAGGCTGGTGGGTGTCTGGGGCATCAGAGCTACTCAAGCTCTTTGATATTATGAAAGCAGCTAAAGGTAACACAGAGCAGAGCTGAATGCGCTTGGCTGAATTCTAATAAAACTTTGTAACAACAGCCAGGAGGCTGGATTTGACCCACAGGACATGACTTGCTGACCTCTCTCCAGTGGTCCTCTTTTAATAATTACTTGTTCCAGTGTGGGATCATGGGAGTCTCTTGCATACATGGGCATTGTGTTTGGCACCCAGAATTCAAGGAAAATTTTGACTCACATGCTCTTTGGATGTGTAGGTTTAACTTTTTACATGAACAAATGGAGTAGAGAGACACAGTCCCAAGCCAGGAGACATCGATAGGCTGGCCATCCCATGCAGCTTCTGTAGGAGGAACATTCAAACGCAGTGTTTGATGGGAAGGAAGGCTTGGTTGTGTTGAAAGACTGCTTTACCCCTTGAAAGGTCCTTGGCAGAGAGACCTTATCTTCTTCCTTCCCAAGTCTGGACTAGACTGCTGTTAAATAAGGAAACCGAGCAGAAGGCAGGCAGCGAGGACCCAAGCAGCCCTGGCACTCCTCCTGTTACCAGGGGCTGCTGGGCTGTTCCTGTTCCTGGAGCAGGGTGACTGCCTTGGGCCATGGTATGGGAAGCCATGTGGAAACAGCTGAGGTGCTGAGGTGCAGTGCCTCTTTCCTGGAGATACTCCGCCGTCCCCCTTGACCTCTGGGGTGTGTTACCTGAGACCGAGGTCCTGCTTGGCACGCTAAACTCCAACTCAGCTTCCTCCACCTTTTCAGAATGTGTCCACGGGTTGCCCCAGGTTGCCTTTCCTGACTTCTAAGTGGCTGCATGTTTCCTCCCTTCCCTGGGGCCAGCTTCACCTTGTCCTGTTCTGGTACCGATGGGAGCCGCAGCATTCCCACCCAGCCCTCTGCATGTCTCCTTCCTGTTTTTCCTCATGGCTCTGGCCACTCCTGTTTGAGAAGCTGTGGGTCACCATGTCATTCTGTGTGCCCAGAAGAGGAGCTTCACTAAAAAAAAAAAAATTACGGATGAAATTTGACTGTTTTGGCTTGTCCTTTGGGGCAACCAGAGAAAATATGTCCTTTCAGACATTTGAAGGTAAATGAAGTTGAGACATTAAACTCCCCGGGCAGGACTTCGGAGATGGCTCTGCCCACTGGAAAAGCATTTGCTGTGGAATCCTGGGGATCAGAGTTCAAATCCCCAGCACGTCTGGAAAGCCAGGTGTGATACCACATGTCTGTAAGCCCAGGGCTCCTACCACAAGATGGGAAGTAGAATTCCTAGGAACTTGTGAGCCAGCTAACCTGGGGTGTGTAGCAGGAAAAAACAAAAACCAAACCAAGAGACTGTGTCCCAACTCCAGTGGAAGATGAGGACCGACACTCAAGGCTGGCCTCTGACCTTGCATGCATGTTATTTGCACACGTGTGCGTGCATTTGGAGTACGTGCAACACGCACGGATTATAAAAGAAGACGGCAGTTCTCTGGGCAGTAACTTTCATTGAGCTCCTTGTCCTTTGTGGGCTATTTGTACACATTTTCCCCTCATTGAATCCCCTGTGGCACCTTTAGTATGTCATCTTTATATCCCATATCTATGGGAATTGAGTTGGGAGAGGCTAGTTAAGGTCACGTGGTTGGTGCCTGCCACGCCAGGGTTTTAACTCTACAGGGTGTGGAGAGAGAGAGTGTGTGTGTGTGTGTGTGTATCACGTGCCACTTGAAAGAGGTATTTGAAGATACAAGGTCCAGCACGGGCTGCTTTGGTTTCTGGCTACAAGCTGGAGGAATGAGAGGGAGTGTCAAGGAGGGTCAGTGCTCATGATGCACTCAGGCCTTCACCTTGCTGTCCTGGACATGTGTCCTGTAGGTGGCAGGCATCCAATGGACCGCAGCACCCAGGTCCAGCGAGTTTCTCTGTGTATAACCACTGTTCCGTGGGCTCCTCTCCTTGGCATAAAGGTCACCACCTCATGTTCCCCATACTTAGTGCCCACAATCTCGGCAAAGAGAGGCCCCTGCCTTTCTTCCTGCCATGTCCACCTGTCTCAGGCCCAGGCCCATCACCACACTGGCCCTCAGTTCCTGCGGAGTCCATGCCGCCTCATCCCATGTTAGGCTCAGTGACATTAGCTTTATTTATCTTTAGTCACAACTTTAGTGTTCATGTCCCTGGCCTCTTCTGCCCAGAAGAGCTTCGTCATTGGTTTCCAGAGGATTCCAGTCTTGGGGTCCACAAGTCGCACTGAGATGCCTTCCTCTGAGTTCATCTTTCCGGCCACACTCTGGGCACTGTGAGGGAAGGATGAGTCAGCCTCACTCTTCACACTCCTTTTGCAAATCAGACATCTTGTGGAGCCTTTTTTGCCTTGAATCATTTTTGTAAAATAACAGGAAATGATTCTATTTAGAAAAAAATTAAAAATTCAGCTACTATAAAAATGCGGAAATTCAGATAAGCCCAAAGATTAAAATTAAAATAACTTGAAATGCAGTGTTAACCACTGCGTGTTATATACATATACACATGCACATACATATTATCTCATTTTATAAAAATCTACTCATGCATATTAATACATAGAAAATATGCATAAAATTACTTTAAAAACCACAGATACCTTTTCTCTGACTAATAAATCCTGTCCTCTTTTGGTCAGTAGAAGTCAGTGTCTTCCAGTGTCTGGTATGTCTGCTGTGACTCTTACTGCATTTGTACTATGATTTATTTAACTGTTAATTTCATGGTTTACTGTCTTATTTAACCTAGTTATGGTTAGAACACTGGTCAAGCAGAGAGGGGAAGAACCAAGGAAGTTTTGGGGTCCTTTTATCTCTTTGTTAAACACAAAAATCTCATTTTTGGAGTTCCTTTTTAGTTTCCTTTTTAGGCAGGGTCTCATGTAGCCCAGGCTGGCATTGGACTTTCCAGAAGAATGACTTTGAACTTCTGATTTCTCCTGCCATGCCCCCCCAGCCCCCCGCCAGAGTGCTGGGATGACAGGTATGGACCAGTATTCCAGGTTTATTGGGGACTGGGGACTGAACTCAGGGCTCCCTGTATGCTCTATAATGCAGTCTCCCAACTGAGGTACATGTAAAGGCTCCCTGGGTTTCCATTGATAACACTCTAAGACAAATGGTTTGACAGGTATGACTGGTCATCTCCACCCCACCCCACCAAGGCACCACCAAGTTGCCTATAGGCCTGCTAGCTGCCTCCGAGGGCCTCACAGAATGCAATGTGGCCATCTGACCCTGCTGCCGTGGGGAAGTCTGGGAGGTGGTCCTCCTGCCTGAGACCCATGATCTATTTCTGCCCGTCAACCTTTCTGGGGTGATCTCCTGTCAGCCCGTGGTTCCAGATTCCTTCTGTCAGTCACGTTGGTAATATTAGCTCTTTCTGTAAGTTAGTGACACGTGTTAGAAAGCACAGAGTGAGTTGAGGAAAAGTCCTTGTACTTTTTAATCGTCTTTTTCCCCAAAGGCGAACGTTCCTGACTTGACTAATTTGCTCGAAGTGACAGCTGACACCTTGGTTGCCCCGAGTTTGCTCAGGAACACAGCCTCCTCAGGGCTTCGAGACAGCGAACAGAGGATTTTTTTTCCTCTTTAATAAGAACATGGAGCATACTAACAAGCCCCTGCCTGCACACCCTGCCCGAGCTGGGGCATCCGTAAGGTTTATCCTCTCCAACCAGCCTGACATTATTCTAGTATTTTAAAGGCAGAGGCATCATCAACCCAGTTCTTCTGCCTGATATCCTGCAGCATTGAGAAGCTCTGTGGGCCTCATGCAGATTTGCCTTGGGTTCAGGTCAGTGGCCTGGGATAGAGCTGGTAAGTGTGAGGGAGAGAAGAGAGGACAAGAAGGCAGCCAGACGTGTAAGTAACACATATTGTAATATTGCTATCAGCGTTTGGGGGATAACCTGTGGTCCAAGTCAGAGCTGTCCAGCAGTCCTTAATAAACCACCTAAAAGAGCCAAATTGATAGTGGAAAGCAGAGAAAGGGATTATTCAATTATTCAATGTGGCCAATTTGGCAAGAGAGACAGAGATGCATGAACCCCCCAAGTCTGTTTTCCCGGCCCTGAGTGAGAGCAGAGTTTTAGAGGGCTAAGGATGTGCATGCACATCCAAACAGTTCTGGTTAAGTGGGGCCCACCCACCACTGACCCATCCTTATCTGGGCTCCAGTCTCATCCTATAAGATGGTCTGACAAGTTGTTCGAACTATGAAGTCTCTTTCAGGGAGACAAGGCCCTTCTCTGTCTGGCACCCCTTTCCTTCTCCATCATGAGATTCCTGGGGAAATTCTCGTTTCTTTGGGGTTCATTATTTCAATAGTCTGATAGTTAGATTGGGAGTCCCGTGTGCCTTCTCTTTATAATGTCTTCATTTCTGCTAGGCTGTTTACAATATGCCCGGTTGCCCCAACATCACAATAGTATTGGGTGGGTCAGTGTTTTGGTTACATCTGCTACTGATACCCACCTCCAAGCTTTTCCTGTAGGCTGAGAACTCAAAAGTAACATACATTTTACTTCTAGTGTTTCCATATGAAACATTATTTTGTTATCCAGCACTTTTGAATCTTGTTTCATAGGCTGAAAAATGTTTTCTGAGCTTAAGACCTTCAGACAAAAATAGCTTGCCATACCTAGAGCCCCCTGTGGGAAGACAGACAGGACTCCCAATCTAACTATCAGACTATTGAAATAATGAACCCCAAAGAAACGAGAATATCCCCAGGAATCTCATGATGGAGAAGGAAAGGGGTGCCAGACAGAGAAGGACCATGTCTCCCTGAAAGATGGGGGCGCTGTTGCACACAGCCTTGAGATGAGGCTCGGTTATGATGCATCACGGGGCTTCTGACAAGTGCAGTAGCTATGAAATCCCATAATATGAGGCACTTTAACCCTTAGCAGTTACCTTTAAGGTTCTGAAGCCCTCAAGGAAACTGCAAAACCCAGGTGAGGGATGTCTCCAAACATTGCAATGACCAGAGCTGTTGGGCGATCTGGGGATTTTTGCAAACCAAGTCACAGGGAGGCTGTTGCGGTATTTTTCTGGTGGAAAGTGCCTGGTCCAGGTTAGGAGGGCTGTAGGGTCGCTCAGAACTTGGTTTGAGCAAGACTCTGCCCTACTTTCCTCCGAGGAGTAACCGAGGTTAAGTGCTTGCTCACTGTAGGCAGTGTTGGTGCCGTCCCCACAAATGTTTTCCTGGGCTCCTTGAGAATAGACACGTTGCCTCTTTTATGGGGAGGCAGGAGGTGTCTTATCCGCACATTGAAACAAAACCCAGAAGAACTTTGCCGAGGCATCTGTCTGATCTCAGAGTGCCACAGTGAGTCGGGCCTTGCCTGTAGAGGTGATGGAATTGTTTTCCAGTAGGGATCAAACTGGGCGGCCCTAAATACCCGACAATTTTAAATTGACTTCGTTAGAGACAAGATCTCACTGTGCAGCCCAGGCTAGCCTTGGTGTTGCAATCCTCTTGCCCCAAACTTCCCAGTGTTAGATTTTTAGGTGTGAGCTGCCATGCCAAGCAAAAACTTGGAAGAACATTCTGGGTGTGGGGTCAGAGTATCCATACTTGGCTTCTCCAGACAGTTTTAAGCAAAACTTTGTATTCTTTCAAGACATTCATGGAAAGAATGTTTGCTGTCCTCTTGCAAACAGTGAGGCCCACCGTGAGCCTGATTGCTCCATCCTGCAAACCTCTTAGGTCAGCAGGCCCCCGCTCTCTGCTCTGCACGCCATCTACTCCACACTGTTGGGCACCTGAGTCTTCACACATGCCTACCTCCAACTTGTAACCGTGTCTTTTGCTTTTCAAGCAGCCATCATAGGGCTGAGGTCTGCATGGCCTGACAGACTTCCCAGTTGCCCCGAGATGGACCCTAAAGTGCCGTCTGTGCATGGATGCTTGTTGTATTCACCGCTCTGAGTGGTGATAACTACATCCTTCTAACACCCAGGCAGCAGGGTCTGGACCCTTTGGTAGGCCGAGGCAGCAGAAAGACTAGGTTCTCTCTTCCCGTCCTGTGCTGAGTATGTTATGAGTGGCCCGTGCTGTGGAGAGCCTGCAGCCATCTGCAAAGTCAGTGGGCCATGCTAAAGCTGAGATGCTGGCGGGTTCTTTGGGAGGACCTCACAAGGGTGGGGTGGGGTGATGCAGGCACTCAACACATGGAAGTTCCCTCTCCTCTTGTACTCACATGGTAAAGAATACAGTGACCTGACAGATAGGTATTGCTACTATATGTTCATCAATAAGGATGCAGAAGACTCCGGAATGTCACTACTCCTAAGTAACTTAACCATGCTCACATAGACTGTGTGATGCTTATCACCATTGGGAAGTACAGAGGTGAAGCTGTCACAGGCATCCTTAAAAACATGTCATCACTCTTGTACTCTATGACCCCGCCTCCTCGTGATCCAGGTATCCTTGCAGCCACCTTTAGGCAAGAGCTTGAACTGTTAAGTGTGCAAAGGCATCTTTGCAGTACTTGCACACTGAATTGCCGTATCTTGACAAGTAAATTTGCCATTGAAATAACCCGGCTAACATCCACTTTTTGGAAGTCAATCCTATGAGAAGTGTTTTTAAAATGAATTCTGATTTTTCCAAAATGGCAAGATATTTTATTTTTGAAATCTTGTTATTTTAACACCGCAATGTTAGGTGTGATTTTTGACATCCCAGCAAGGCAAAACTGTAATCTCACCAGATGCCATTTAACTTATGGTGCATTTTGTCAGATCTTATTTTGTGTGGTATATGCAAGCTTAATATAGATTCTGCAGCTCTGGAGACTATTCATTTTCAGGATTACAGAGTTGCATTGTCTGAGTTTGTGGTGCAAATCCCAGAATAAAATTTCAAGTACGTGAGTTTTAGAGCTTGTTATTCTCATGGGCTTTTCAGTAGTTAGTAGAAGGTGAGGCCCAGAACCAGGACCACAGTCTGGGTATGACTTTTGGCAATGTGCTTTTCTGGACATAAGCCTATTCTCTGCCTCTTGTATGTTGCCATCCTGGGGAAAGGGTGATAAGTTGGAGTCAGTACCACTCCTGGGAAACCCAGGCAGGTATAGCTGTCCTGATAGGTAGACCGGTAGTTCTCCTGAAGGCCACGCCTCCTCAGCATCACTTAGGGGGAAGCTTTGAATAAATATCTATGGTGTTGGGCATGGTGGTCTATCCTTGTCATCTAACATTTGGGAGGGCAAGGTGGGAGGACCTCAAATGCAAAGTTGTGTGGGGGGGCTACATAGGGTGACCCCATTTTAAAACAATCACACTGCTGGACCTGTGATCTCAGCACTTAGGAGGGGCTGCTGCAAGTTCAGAGCAAGCCTGGCCTATTCAGCAAGTTCCTGGCCAGCCAGGCCTACGTAGTAAGACCCTGTCTCACAAAATGAAGCCAAAAAATACAAATGAATAAATTAAAAACCCCACCTGTGATGGGACTTCAGGGATTCTGGTTCAGAATAGCATGGTATTTGAAAGCTCCCAGATAAAAAACGAGTGTAATGCTGGGGTCCACTGGCAAGGAGGGGAAGGCAGGAGTCTGAGTGTCTTAGTGGTAGTCCTTCGTGTCCTTCATGTTCCTCGTGTCCTGGAAGAGAAAGGCTGCCGTCTCTGGTTGCCCTCCCCTGTGTTAGGATGTGGTGAGACAAGAGCTTCCAATATAGATCATAAAATCTGATTGCTGGAAACATGATATGAGACATTTGAAAAACCAAGCTGTATTCTGAAGCCTTCAGATCTGTAGTTTTGGGAGGCCGGATTGGAGGGTGGGGGGAGCAGTGTCTGATGTAGCTCAGGCAGGCCTCAAACTTGCTTTGTAGTTGAAGGTGACTTTTGGCTTCTGACCTTCCTGTCTCTGCCTCCTGAGTGAGGGCATCACAGAGGTGCACTACCGTGTCTAAGTTGGCTTTCGTGGTGCTTGGGATCAAACCCAGGAACTCTGTCCAACCTAGGAGAGCACCCTTTCAATGGGGCTATGCCCCAGGCCAGATGCTTTCTTACTGAATTTTATATACGTCTTCTGATAGGCATTACCAGAAATATTTGTATTCAAATTTAAAAATAAGAACAAGTAGAAAATATGCATGTTCAAGGAAAATTGTTTTTTTCTGCTTGAACTGTTTTGTAGCAAACTCTTTTGAAGTCTGTGTGTTCAGTTGTAAACATTTCAACTCATACCATGTGTAACCTAGGATTCCTGTCAAAATGAAGGCAGTGGGTGTCTGGCAGAGCCTCACTGTGACCTGCCCCTGGAGTTAGGCTCTGGATATCTATGTCCATGTTCCTGCTGCATCGTTAGCTCATTCTGGGTTCCTTCTTGGCTCATGCCCCTCTTAGGACCACATTACAATTGACCTCTTAGCTGGTTTTCCACGATTTTCTATTCCAGGATGGATCTTTCCATCTGCACGTCTGATTTTCCATTTGTACCACTCATGCTCTTGCTGGTTTCCAGACTGCCCCAGTCTGCACGTTGATGTTTCTAACCTTGGCAAGTCTTCTTTCCTTGGGCAGGAGCTACCCTCTACTTCTTTGGAGCTGGAGCACGATTACAGTCGGTACTCATTGAACTGGACAGCGAGGCCAGGCAGGGGGCTGCTGTTGAGGTCTTGTCTTGATTCTGATTTTCTGTCGAGGGAAGACACTATGTTGGGAGGCAGAGGGGGTGGAACAGAAAGGGATGGAGGACCAGAAGGGCTCACTTTTCTGAGGCGTCCAATTTGTGTCTCACCTTCTCATCCATCCTCGTGTATGCCTAGCCAGCTTGAGCATTTTCATTTATAACTGCTACTTGGCTCAGGCTAAATGGTTGGATTCGAGGGCAGAACTCCAGGCAGACTGGGGCCAAGCCATCCTAAAATTGCCATGATACCTCACCATGTCTGAGGCTCCCAGAACACCGGGAGTTGGAACGCGTGTGGGGCCAATTGTTGAGGACAGGATGGAGTCTGTGAGTCTGCCTCCTGTATGTTCTGTTTGGAAAGCTCTATGTCTGGAATTTTAGAGCAACCTCAATTTTAGTAGAGTTAGCCTCATTCCTGACTCTTTGGTCTTAGTGCCAAAGCATCCACAGCTCTTATGATAGCAGGGAGCGTTGTGTACCAACAGGAAACATAGGATGCCATCTTCTTTATGGGACTCGGGTTATAGTGAGAATCGTCTGAGGCGAATGAAGCTGTGTGCCCTAGACCTGCGTCTTTGTGAGACTCGTTGACAGTGTCCTGGGGGCAGGTGGGAACACTTGGTGTTCCGGGTGAGGTGCACACCCAGTGCCGGCCAGCGGTGTCCTGAGTGTGGCTTTGCCTTTCTTGTCTCCTCTCAGAGTGCTGAACAGATCGTTGAGCTCTGCAGGGGCTTTACCAGCGCCCACACCAAAAGTATGGAAGCACCAATGGAGAGCCAGGACCCACCTTCCAGGCCTCTGGCTCGCCACCTCTCAGATGCAGACCGCCTCCGAAAAGTCATCCAGGAGCTCGTAGACACGGAGAAGTCTTACGTGAAGGTAACGGGAAGTGCTGGATATTCCCACCTCTTTGATTGATGGTGAGGTTACACTGGCAAAGGCCTCAGATCACCTCCTTTGCCTGAGACACCTGCCACTCAGGAGGTAGACATGTGCTCCTTGAGGTGAATTGCTGCAGGGAAGGGAGAACAGGCTGAGAGGGTGAAAGAATTGAGAAAACTAAAAAAAAAAAAAACCCCAAAATTGGATTCTTGGCTCATTTTGTTGCCAGGGTAGCTTTCACTATGGAAACAGATGTTGTAGTTCATTATTTGCAATCTGTGGGAACTGAGTCTACACTGCTTTAGCAAGAAGGGCAGAGATCACTTTGGGTTATGAGGAGCTGGGGAGCAATCTCTACCCTAGGGGCCCTGAATATAGGTCCTCAGAGTCCAGGTGGTCAGCCGGATCTGTGGAGGTCCCTGGGCAGAATGTAGGCCCACGCACAGGTGTTTCAGCCATCACATGGGGTGTTCTCATACCATGACAAAGGCAGAGCCACCGCAGTCTTGGGTACCTGCTGAATTCATTTATCTCATCAGCTAGTCCCTACTTAGTGCTTGGGGAAACGTTTATTGATATAGGAGATTGGAAAGACAGTATTCTCTGCTTTAAGCATTTGCTCATGCTTTGGGTCTATTTTAAGCTTGTCTCAGTTGTCAGTTTCTGGAAGGGTATGGCATAGGACAGTGGCTGGGAATCCAGGCCTGGTCTGCCTTGTTGTGCTTCATGGCCCTTGGAGGGTCCTCCCCAACTTCCTTGTTGGGCCCTGTGCTTGTCACTGGCTTTCCAGAAATTCTCAGTATGTGAAGTCCAAGAGTTACACATTGGCACACACATGTGGGCTGTTACCCTTTCCTCTATGAAACAGACCCGAGGAGCTGGGACAGTAGCTTAGTTGGTACAGTACTTGCCTAGCATACCCCAGGCCCTGGGTTTGATACTGTAGAAGCGGACATGACGGTGCATGACTATAATCTCAACACTCGGAAAGTAGAAGATGGGAGATCAGGAGCTCAGTGTATCTTCAGCCACATGGCGAGTTGGAGGCCAGGCTGGCCTACATGAGACTCTGAAAACAACAACAGCAGTGACAGATCTGAGCTTCTCCTTCAAGTGTGCCACTGCCATTTCCCCAGGACACTCTCAAAAGTCTTATTCATAGGTAGCTCCAGTGCCTCTTATATCTGTCTGTGGGGAGAGAAAGAACCACTAGAGATTTGAATTTTACTTTCCATTAAGTCTTGTCCTGTATCCAGTGGAAGAAAGAGAGAGAGAGACTGCTAGGGAGCTCAGGGGCTCCTAAGCGACCCAGCAAATCCACAACCTTTGCTCTGGGAGCTGGGAATGCTCCTGAGGCTCAAGAGCCATCGGACCTGTTGAGCAGCATCACAGAACCTGCTGGGTCCAGGGCAGGGTTGAAAAGAGAACCCACCCCCCTCTGTCACCACTGTTTCCCATCTTCCTTTTGGATGGCATTCCACCAGGAGGGCCCTTTTCAATGCTACTTGTTAGCCCCTGAGGGATGTGTGACCAGGTAGGCTAGGAAGGACCAACTCTTCCTTCCCTGCAAGAACCCTGCCGTTCGTTTTCATAGGGCGGCAGGCATGGAGGCTCTTTTGTCAGCCCCAGTTCAGCGTGACCCGCTCTTGCTGTGCAGTAAGTCCTCTGAGCAAGTGACATTGACCTGGACAGGAGTGACGGCCTGACAAATAACCAGTACTTAGTGTGAACTCACAAGTCACACCTGCTCCCGACTCTCCCTTCATTTTTTTTTTTTTTTTTTGTTGCTGACCTGTAACACAGAAGTTCCTTGCTTGAATCTAACCCCAAATCTCCGCATGCACCTAAAAGTGTGTGCCCCCCAGATCTGCTCCAGTGACTGACTCACTGCTACCTGCCCTTCTCACACCCCAGATTGCTGTGGTACAGGAGGAGGTGGGGAAGCCAGGGGGGTTTTTCAGTGTGAAGCACCCGCAGTGCCGCCGCTGCTCTGGGGTTTGCTCTCACAACGAGGAAGGCACTGGGGGCCCCCTCTGGGCTTCCCTTGGCTCTCTGGTTTCTAAGACTTCTCCCTTGCAAAGCCAGGGAGTCAGTTCCACCAACTCATTAGTCCACTAGAGCTACATGCATGACTCCCAATTCTTCAAAATAAATGAAACCCCACAGAAGTCTTTGCTGTCACTAAATTATACAGTGTCTGGCTTCAAGTTCTTAAATATAAACTTGAGTGGGTCACATAAGTACTCCCACTGTTGTGTTCTCTGAGAGACTAGTCCGGGAGAGACTCAAGTGCAGCTTAGATTGTGACCATCCCTGCCGCTCACTGTTGGTGGCTCTTGCACTTGAACACACGAGTTGGAAATTCCGCTGGTTTCAGCCTGAAGTGGAGGAAGAGCTTGCCTGGGTCCTGTCTCACAACTCCACCCAGAGGCTGTCACCATGCTCCCTGGCACCGAAGAGAAAGCCAGCTCACTGGTGTCTAGCCACAACTGCAGCAGTACCTAGCCGGCCCTCTCTTCCCCTTCGGAGAAATGGTGGCTTCTGTGGCAGGAAAGACAGAGCCTGTTCTGGCAGTAAGAAGTTAACCTTACTCAGAGTGGGTGCTAACACTGTAGAGTGAAGATGTGAAATCCAGGAGGTGGCAGTATGGTGGCACCAACCTTTATATTAGGTGAGCAACGACAACCGCTTTGGAGGTCAAGAATTTCAACAAGACAAATACCACCTTTCCTAATGGGAGTCTTTGGAGATGCTGCCTAGGCTGCTGGAACCAACTGGTTATTTTGGAGATGTATGTTAAAGACAATCTTCTCTTGGCTTTCAGGATCTGAGCTGCCTCTTTGAACTATACTTGGAGCCACTCCAGAATGAGACTTTCCTTACCCAGGATGAGGTAAATAGCGAATACTTTTCTTCCTCACTCACACACCAGTCCTCTTTTTCAGCCTTTTAGCAGAGGTCCTAGACCAGGTGCGTTCTTTTTTTAACATTACAAGATGGTGCTCTTACCTACAAAGTTCATACCCAGGAACCACAGTTAAACAAACAAAACAAAACAACAACAACAAAAAACTTGCAAAAAAATTTTTTTGGAGAAAAGGTCTCACTGTGTATCCTGGCTGGCCTGGAACTCACTATGTACATGAGGATGGCTTTGAATTTACAGAGATCTGCCAGCCTCTACCTCTCTAGTGCTAAGATTAAGGTTGAATGCCACCATGCCTGATGCAAAGAAATCATGTTTCAATGAAGTTAGTGAATTTGGGCTGAGCTGTATCCATAGCTGCCTGTGGCTTCATTTAGCCCATGGATTGCAGGCTGGACACAACTGTTCTAGAGTATAGCTACAGAGTCCCAAGGAACACTGAAGCTGAAGGATCTTCACAAAGTCCTGTATGTGACCTCTTTTAAAGCCACTGATGTGGCCTCTGTCCTAGAAAGTGGTAGTGCATTGATAAAGGCAGAAGGGAGGTCTTGAGTTTTTTGTCTGTTTGTTTGGCAGGAGATACAGCCAAACGTTGCTTTCCAATATATGAATTGTTAATATTAAATCACAAGAATTAGCTCCTTTCTAATGATTTCCATTTCCCCTGATGTGAATTCCAATCCACTTAATAAGTTATCTTGGAATTGTGGGATAGCCGGGAGCTGGATCTGTGTCTCTAGGTATAGACTACACCCCTGTGAATGTGCTCTGTAAAGGACCTACTTATACCTGCTTCTCAGGCACACTTCCGTGGTGGAGGTGAGGGAGTCTAGCTTGTCCTGGTTACACCTTTTCACACCTCACCCTTCATATAGATGGAGTCACTATTTGGGAGCTTGCCAGAGATGCTGGAATTTCAGAAAGTGTTCCTGGAGACTCTGGAGGACGGAATCTCTGCCTCCTCGGACTTCAATGTCCTGGAAACCCCCTCCCAGTTTCGAGTAAGTATTTTGGATTTGGGTTTAAAGCAAATACAAGTGGGTAGGGTGTAAAGTTATCCCCTAAGTCAATGAAGTTTGTGTGTTCCACTGCCCCGCTTTCTCTGTGGGTGGGGGAAGGCGGCTTTGTGATTTTCTCCTGGAGTGACTGCTCTCGGAGGTCAGCAGTCTGGACCACCAGATTGCTGACCACATCTGTTTTTCACTCACTTTCAAGAAAGGTATTGCAGCAACTTCTTCTGAAGCAAGAGCAGCTTCCCTGCACTGGAGTCCTGTTATGTGGTCCTGGGAAACTGGGCTGGAAAACGTGGGTTTCAGATGCCCATCAGGGAAGTTTGTCCCTTGTGAAGGAGTAAGGACCATGGCTAATGGGAAGATCTTCCAGGGGTGAGAGGGTAGAAGGCAGCAGAAAGGGGTTTTAGGAGCATACAGTAGGCACAGTTCATCCCAAGTAATGGAGCAGGTGACTCTGAGAGTCCCCGCACCCCCTTAGACCACTGTAGTCCCATCCATCAGATACAGTGAATCTGTTGCCAGGAAACTCCTCTGCCAGGACCTTTCCCATCCATCTAAAGGTCTGCTAGGGCAATGCCTAGACTGGTCTCCACCTACAGACTGAACAGAGTATTGCCGACACTTGTCGGCAGCAAATGACCTGCTGAAGCCAGAGCACATGGAAGATGTGTTTGATTTCACCTTTCTCTCATCCCTTATAGAAGTTGCTCTTTTCCCTTGGAGGCTCCTTCCTCTATTACGCCGACCACTTTAAACTGTACAGTGGATTCTGTGCCAACCACATTAAAGTCCAGAAGGTTCTAGAGCGAGGTGAGTTGTTCATCGCCTTTATAGTTCTTTTTTTTTGTTTTTAACTGTTAAGGGTTAGAGC